GACCTAGACCATAAATTTATTTTTCCTTTTATATTTCCTGTGAGTCTACCTGCTTTAGACCTCTCTGTGGCTAAAGATCAAACAATTCTCACTTAGAATATGACTATTTAAAAGATGAATTCATTCTCATTTTAATTCCATGTAGGATACACATTTTTATAAACCCCTCTTTTTACACTGAGACTAGCCTACCAACCAATAGATTGAGCATCCCATATCTGAAATGCTTGGGACCAGAAGTGTTTCAGATTTTTTCAAATTTTGGAATATTTGCATTTACATAATGAGATATCATGGGGATGGGACTCAAGTTTACACATGAAATTCATTCATGTTTCACATACACCTTATATATGCAGCCTGAATGTAATTTTATACAATATTTTTAATAATTTTGTGCATGAAATAAAGTTTTGACTGTTACCTGTCATATCACATGAAGTCAGGTATGGAATTTTCCACTTGTGGCGTGTCATGCTGGCATTCAGAAAGTTTTAGATTTTGAAGCATTTCAGGTTTTGAATTTTTGATTAGGGATAGTCAACATATTTCAGCATAGGAAAATTTTAGAAACAAAAAAGCTCATAGTCACAGAGGTACTTGTGGTTTCAGTGGTATGGTTCTAGGCTAAGTAAAGTTCTGGAATGGAGAACTAAGCTAAGTCTTAGCTCCTCAAATCAAAAGTGGCACAGGAAAAAAACCACCATCTCTTGGGTTTTCTATAGACCAGACTAAGTTCTGCAGGATTAGAGTTGAATATTCTCCACTGCCACCCCAGACTGCCTATCCAACATGTGACTTTTGAAACCAGGGCTAGCTCCAGAAGTACAGTGACTTTTAAAGTTCCTTATAATTGAAGCAAGACACAGGAAGGCCCACACTCCAGACTGAACGGTAAAGTGGTGCTTGGTAATGACGCTGAGACCAAGAATGAAACCCAGTGTCTCAGCCTATGTGCCAATCTATAAGAGGGCCCCAAATACCCACCTCTTACACATGTTAAACAACATAGCTTTAAGTTTTTAAGTTATTTTCTGTGAAATTAGTAACTGGCCACTGATTGTTTAACTAACTACCACAATGAATCATCTAGGTACCTGGGCTATTTCCAATAGCCCTGCCCTCTCCTCCTTCCCGTCTCCTAACAGTCTCTAAAAGAAAAAGAAAGGGGAAAACCCAGAAACAACGCAAAGCTTTAGATCAGTCAGGACTAAGAATCACTGGCAAAGAAGCACATAAAATGCCTTAAAAGATTTCCCTCTGCGCTACAGCAGACTATATTCTTAGGAGCACAAAGGCAATTGAAAACTGACCAAAGTTTAAAAACAGACCTTCATTTCTTAAGGCTATACTGAATAAGACAGGATTTAAAACAGGCATTTAGACATTAAAATGCACAGGATGGTGGAAAGTTAGCGTATTCTTTCTGGGGACATTAAACCTTGGTATCCTCAATTCCTTCATGCTTGGCCTCTAACAAGATCAAAGTATTTTGCTAAATGCCTCTGAATAGCATGTCTGGTTTGCTAAAACTCACATACCTGCCTGAAGTCAGTGTAATGTATTTTTGGCTAAAGTACTCTGCACAAGGACTTCTCTTTAGCACTTTGTTTATCTTCAGAAATGCAGCAGATGGGAAAAGCAGAAGGCAGTGAGCTGTGCACTTCGACATAATCCAAATGCTACTGAGCCTTTATCTGGGGTCTATTACACTTGGCAGTGTTTGTTTAAATCTTATTCCAGCACATCTGAGAAAGTGGGGTGAAGGTTTTAAGCTTATTTATGCTCTTTTTCAAGGCTTACCTTTCATGACATCATGAAACCCATGCAGAGCAGCACCAACATTTGTTAAGACAGAACTGTAGTTTGTCCGAAGGAGTCCATCTGGCTCTGTACCTAGGAAACCAAAATCACAAACCTAAGTATTTTCCTGAAAAGGGGACCGCCCCCATATCTTCTCAGGGGGAAGACAGAGAACGAAGACTACTTGTAGTATGTTGGAAATAATGGCTCTTAAAATCTTCATAGATACATTCAGATATAATGGTGATAAACACAGACACATCTAAATGATTTGCATCTCCCATGTCCACAAACATTTTTAATGGTTGACAATCAAAATTAAATTGCTAAATAGGATTAGGTCTTCATAATTCATTCATTCATCCACTTATTTATTTAAGATACAGGGTCTCATTCTGTCACTCAGGCTGGAATACAGTGGCGCAATCATAGCTCTCTAACCTCAAACTTCTGGGCTCAAGGGATCCTCCCGCCTCAGCCTCCTGAGTAGCCAGGACTACAGGTATGCACCACCACACCCAGCTATTTGTTTTTTATTTTTTTGTAGAGATGGGATCCAGCTATGTTGCCCAGGTTGGTCTCAAACTCCTGGCTTCAAGTGATCTCTTGTCTCGGCCTCCTAAAGTGCTGGGATTAAAGGCATGAGCCACCATGCTTGGCCTTCTTGGTAAATTTTTATCTTGTTACCATATAACACATTTCTGATTTTTTTTTCACTCCCTACACATTATTATTTTCTGAACAGTACTAAAACACTCTTATTCAAACATCAGAGAGTTCCACTTCTGCCATGACAAGCATGAGGAGCTCTGAGGACCAGCTCCCCAGTGAAATTGGTGAAAATTCCAAAAAAATCCAACCATTTAAAGTTTAAATGGTTCTAAAGGCATACAGCCAATAAGAAATATTTACTCAAGAAAACCTTTAACCGGCCGGGCGTGGTGGCTCACACGTGTAATCCTAACACTCTGGGAGGCCGAGGCAGGCAGATGGTTTGAGCTCAGGAGTTCAAGACCAGCCTGAGCAAGAGAGAGACCCCGTCTCTACTAAAAAAAATGAAAAGAAACTAGCTGGACAACTAAAAATATATATACAAAAAAAATTAGCCGGGCATGGTGGCGCATGCCTGTAGTCCCAGCTATTCGGGAGGCTGAGGCAGTAGGATTGCTTGAGCCCAGGAGTTTGAGGTTGCTGTGAGCTAGGCTGACGCCACGGAACTCTAGCCCAGGCAACAGAGTCAGACTGTGTCTCAAAAAAAAGAAAATCTTTAACCGACTCAGTAAGAATAGAGAGAATCTGTGGTATGTGAACCAAGACTCACTCTCTCCCTCCCTCTCCTCACGAGATCAGAGAGACGGAAACCCCATTCCTAGTAACAGGTAAAGCCAAGAACACAGGACTCCCTCTTTCCCAACCCTTAGCTGGAGGACTGGATTTCTCGATTTGCTCCCAGCTACCTGTCGCCATGACTAAGTTCTGGACAACAGCAAGACAAGAGGTGGGGGAGGGTTCCCTTCTTTCATCGAGCACCCACCCCTGGGACAGAGGCTCTATCTTGGACATGGTGCTGCTGAGAAAACTGGGGCCCCAATAACCCCTGCCCCAGCCCATCAACAGGGGTTCCACACTGAAGAAGGCAGACCAAGGAGACCAGAGACTGATGTCCTTCCCTCCAACACCGAGCACTCAGCTCCTAACAAGAGGGTGTCGCTCACAGAGAAATGCTGCCACTGTCCCCACCCCAGCACCAGAACTATGGCTCAGAGATTGACCCCAGGGGATAAGTAAGCTTTAAAACAAGAGCTTTGAATCTCTTCTCAAAGGAATTGATTAATTTGCAACAAAATGTGAATAAGTTCAAGCTTAAGGGTACTCTCTCAAAAAAGACCTGGAGCTATGGTGAAAGCAATTAAGAGGAAATTGATAGATTCCTTAGAGATGTAAATTAAACTCTAGTCTGGCTGGTTTATCAGAGAGAACCAGGGACAGAAACAGCCAGGAGGAGCCTTCCTGGGGTCAGAACAAATGTCAAACACTGACCTCAAAAACTATACCTGTGAAGTATATGCTAGGTCCAAACTATACCTGTAAAGGAGTCCACATTTAATTGATTCCATCTGTGGACATGTTATGTTCCAAGGCATTTTGAAACAAGAAAGCAATCAGCCAGCAATTAGTGGAGCTTTGGGAAGGAGACACCACTATCGTCCCAGGGTGACCATGAGCATTCCCAAGGCTGAACTCTCTGAGAAGCAATACCACCATGCAAAATTTATGCTCGAAAACTAGAAAATAGCATTTAAAAAAATTAAAGAAATCTTTCTTCCAAGAAATTTTGAAAAAGAACAAAGTACAAGCAGTCACATTTTCTAATCTCAAAATTTACTAGAAAGCAATAGTCATCAAGACAGTGTGGTGCTGGCATAGGACAGACATATATTTAGATCAGTGAAATAGAACTGAGAGTCCAGAGAAATAAATCTATACACCTATAGTCAATTGATTCTTGACAAGGGTGCCAAGATCATTCAATAGGGAAAGAATAGTCTTTTCAATAAATGGTGCTGGGACAATTGGATAGCACATGCAAAAGATGAAGTTGTACTCTTACCTTGCACCATATACAAAAATTTAACTCAAAATGAATCAAAACCTAAATGTAAGAGCTAAAATTATAAAACTCTTAGAAGAAAACATGGGGAAAATATAGAATGAAATAACCTCAGATTTGACAATGGAGTCCTAAATTCGACATCAAAAGCAAGAGCAACTAAAGAAAAAACAGAAAACTGGACTTCATCAAAATTAAAAACTGTTGTGCTTCAAAGGACACTACCAAGAAAATGAAAAGACAACCCACAAAATGGAAGAAAATATTGTAAATCATACATCCAATAAGGGACTTGTATCTATATTAAGAACTCTGACAATTTGATAATAAAAAGACAATTCGATTGAAAAATACAGAAAGGATCACAATAAAAATTTCTGCAAAGAAGGTATGTGAATGGCCAATAAGCACATTAAGAGATGTTCGACATCACTAGCCATCAGGGAAATGCTAATCAAAACCACAATGAGATACTACCTTCTACCCACTAGGATAGCTAAAATAGAAAAGTTAGATAATAGTGTTAGTGAGGATGTGGAGACACTGGAACCTTTACACACTGCTGGTAGGAATGTATGAGGTTGGTGCAAAAGTAATTGCAGTTTTAGCACTGTTGAAATTTGCTGTTTGATATTGGAATGCAATCTTAAATAAATGTGGTTGTGGTTGTGTTATACATCATTTTAATGCATATTTCTTACTTTATGTTTTTTGCTATGTTTTTTGCTATGACTTGTTACTTGCTGTTTATTTTATATTTATTTTAGACTATGGAATTGATGTTAGACAAAAAGCAAATTCAAGCGATTTTCTTACTCGAGTTCAAAAGGGGTCATAAAGCAGCGGAGACAACTTACAACATCAACAACGCATTTGGCCCAGGAACTGCTAACGAACGTACAGTGCAATGGTCATTCAAGAAGTTTTGCAAAGAAGAGCCTTAAAGATGAGGAGCACAGTGGCCAGCCATAGGAAGTTGACAACGACCAATTGAGAGTAATCATTGAAGCCGATCCTCTTACAATTACATGAGAAGTTGCTAAAGAACTCAATGTCGACCATTCTAGGGTCATTTGGCACTTGAAGCAACTTGGAAAGGTGAAAAAGCTCAATAAGTGGGTGTCTCATGAGCTGACCAAAAATCAAAAAAATCATTGTTCTGAAGTGCCGTCTTCTCTTCTTGTATGCAACAATGACAACAAACCATTTCTCGATTGGATTGTGACATATGATGAAAAGTGGATTTATATGACAACAGGCGATGACCAGCTCATTGGCTGGACTGAGAAGAAGCTCCAAAGCACTTCCCAAAGCCAAACTTGCACCAAAAAAAGGTCACAGTCACTGTTTGGCGGTCTGCTGCCGGTCTGATCCACTACAGCTTTCTGAATCCTGGCAAAACCATTACATCTGAGAAGTATGCTCAGCAAATCAGTGAGATGCACTGAAAACTGCAACACCTGCAGCCGGCAATGGTCAACAGAAAGGGCCCAATTCTTCTCTACGACAACATTCGACTGCACATCACACCACCAATGCTTCAAAAGTTGAACGAGTTGGGCTACGAAGTTTTGCCTCATCCACCATATTTACCTGACCTCTCGTCAACTGACTACCACTTTTTCAAGCATCTCGACAACTTTTTGCAGGGAAAACGCTTTCAAAACCAGCAGGATACAGAAAATGCTTTCCAAGAGTTCGTCAAATCAGAAAACACAGATTTTTACACTACAGGAATAAACAAACTTATTTCTCATTGGCAAAAATGTGTTGCTTTTAATGGCTCCTATTGTTATTAATAAAGATGTGTTTGAGTCTAGTTATAATGATTTAAAATTCAGTCTGAAACTGCAATTACTTCAGCACCAACCTAATAAATGCAACAGCACTTTGGAAGATAGTCCAGCAGTTCCTCAAACAGTTAAGCATGGAGTTACCGCATGATCCGGCACTTCTATTCCTAGGTATACCCAAAAGAAATGAAAAGATATGTCCACACAAAAACTGGTACACTCATGTCTATGGCATCATTATTCATAACAGCCAAAATGTGGAAAGAAGCCAAATGTCCATTACCTGACAAATGGATAAACAAAATGTAGTACATCCATAAAACAGAGTATTATTCTGCAATAAAAAGTAATGAACTAATACATGCTATAATGTGTATGAATATTAAAAACATTATGCTAAGTGAAAGAAAGCAGTCAGAAAAGACCACGTATTATATGACTCCATTTATATGAAATGTCCAGAGTAGGCAAATAAACAGAAAGTAGATTAGTACCTGCTTAAAGGACAGGGAGGGCAGGAGTGGGGAAATATGAGGTGACAGGTAAAGGACATGGGGTTTCTTCTTGAAGTGATTAAAATGTTCTAAAATTGTAATGATGGTACACATATCCATGAATATACTAAAAACCACTAAATTATACATTTTAAATTGGTAAGTTGTATGGTATATATATTGTATCACAATAAAGCTGTTTTAAAAAAATAAAAAAAATCAGAGTACCAGGAAAACCATGACATTCTTTAAAATGTCATTTACACTAAGGTCCATTCGGTTACTTCAAAATACTTTTTTCAAGTTAGGCCAAAAGGAGACAAATGGCATTTTTACTACTAAAACTTCCGTATGATATTTGTTGGAAAGTTGCTACAAATTCTTATGATTTGTCCCTCCTCATTTAAAAAAAAGGAAGGAGAGAAAG